ATAACAAGAACTCGCCTATAAATAATTTTTTAAATTAAATTGTAGTGTAAATGAAATTATAGTAGAAAATCCACGAATCCAAAACCGAAAATCCGCAAATTCAGTAATTCCAACAATGTCGGGAGTACTGCACGTATCTACAACTCAGCGGGGGAAACCATCTTTGGTTGACATAAACAACTTCTCCTACACTAGTTTAGTCCGAGCAAAGACAATAGGTTGGGACTTTCTAAAGCTTGTTATATCCCAGGAAGCAAACACACGACGTGTGTTGTCTGTCAAACTCTGTCGGTCAAGACATCCACGGAAACACAGGCAGGAAGCATGCGGCGGCGGCGAGCTGTTAAATAAGCGAGTTGCTGTTATATGTCGAAATGTTATATGGCAAAATGTTACTTAAGCAAGTTGTTATATGGCGAAATGTTACTTAAGTAAGTTGTTATATGTCGAAATGTTATATGGCAAGTTGTTATATGGCGAAATGTTATATGGCAAGTTGTTATATGGCAAAATGTTACTTAAGCAAATTATATGGCGAAATGTTACTTAAGCAAGTTGCTATATGGCGAAATGTTACTTAGGCAAGTTGTTATATGGCGAAATGTTACTTAAGCAAGTTGTTATATGGCGAAATTTTACTTAAGAAAGTTGTTATATGGCGAAATGTTACTTAAGCAAGTTGTTATATGGCGAAATTTTACTTAAGAAAGATGTTATATGGCGAAATGTTACTTAAGCAAGATGTTATATGGCGAAATGTTATATTGCGAGATGTTACTTCTGAGCCTTAACGCCCTTTTTTAAATTCAACTATTCCCGTGTTTTATCTCTGTTTGTTTAAAAAGTACAATTATCCATAAAATGAGAAATATAAAATAAAACTCTTAGATTTAAAAATCTGACTAATTAAACCCGCAGAACAATGTTAAATCTTTTAAACGCCATTTTCTAACTTCCTAGTCGAATACTGACCGGTTTTAGAATAGCAACGTTTTTAGAGCAATAACTGCATTCGCCCCGGGAGGTTGCAACAAACTTATATATTTCTTATCCTACCTTTGGTACACGTAGTAAACTTCATATTTATCATTATCCGTCAATTATCCTATTAGCGGGAAAGGTCAAACTAAATTTACCTGGACAGTTTTTATAGGTCTTACCCGTTTATAAATACTTGGAGTTCGGTGTTGTAAATAAAGTAGGGGTTAGTTTCACATTTAAAAAAATATATATTTTGGTCGGGGTTGGTCCTAAAGATCAATATTAAAAAATGAAAAAAATGACAAGAAAATAAACAACAAACCTCTTTAAAAAATGAGTTGACATATTATTATATGTAAAACTTTTTTTCACTTTTTAAAATACATAACAGGTACCACAGCTAGATATTTAATAAACAGTAAACAAAAGGTTCTGATTAAAAGTCCAGTAAGTCTTTAGAACCCACTTTCAACCATTAAATATATATATTATTTTTTTTGTAGCGTATTTGAGATTTTAAAACATTTCTTTTACGTTATTTTTGACGAATATTGAATGAGAGATCAAAATATGACTGAAAATATTCCTATTCAGACAGCGCGCAGGATGCAATTCGTTGTAATAAGTTTAACGTAAAAAGTGGAAAAAAAACTATTTCGTTTGTATAACCGGATTTTGTTAAAAATAATTTGTAGATTCGTATCTGGCCGCATATATTGTAAAAAAAAAACTGTAATTGGTTAGGACCAAATAGATATATATTATTAAAATCTAATTAGTTAGGACACATATATTATAAAAGGACCAACTATAAATGATGGAACATATATTAAAAAATAGCAACACATATTTTACAAGCACAGAGCAAGCTAAAATTTAAGAAAATAAGGAGAGAAATGAATCTGTTTATTATCATTAAAAAAGTAAAATATAAGAAAACTCTCTGGTTACTAACTAGGCAACATATAACGTTAAAAACTAATCAAAACAATATAAATTCAACTAAAGGACCTTATATTTGTGTTTTTTAATACTGGATCAAGCATTTTGTTTTAAGGATTAAATTTCTCGCGCATAAGATTTCAATTTCGTTGCTTCTGAAAACACCATGCACTTTGATTGGTCGAATTTTAGAAACTTTCCCGGGCACAAACTAAAAATTAAAATAATCTTAAGATTAAAAAAATTATGATATCTAGCATTGGTCTCGATATATCCACAATTATAAGTTTTCAGCTCGGCAGACATAAGATAAGTTTAAATTGAGGGATCAAGCAATGATTTAAAAGTTGCAACATTGGATATCGAGATAAAGCGTTGCAGATCAGCGCTGTTTTACAAATAAGTTTTGACCTCAGATTTGAACCAGGAACGGTAAAACGGAAGAAATAAATAACTTTTCATTTTCCTGGAAATATAATTTTTATTTTTTATTAACTTGGTAGATTTTTATCTTCATTTTGGACAAAATTATATTATTATTTACATATGCACTGAATTTCCATTCAATAAAGTTCTTTGCTATAAAAAATAAATATATAAATATAAACTTCTGTTTTGATTTAATAATAAATTGATTATATATTATAAAATATATATGTTTGAAAATGCTGGCCAAAAGGCTGGACCAAATTGGCTGAAATTTGTTAAAGAAACCATGGTAAACCGCTGGATGACAGAGGATAAACGAATTTTTGAAATTTTTGAAATTGCACGGGCATTGCCGGGCACTTTTGCTAAAATCATGATTGGATACCAATCGTAGGTAAACGTCGAGAGTAACTATGACTATGAATAAGATAAACCTGGACAACACCGGGCACTCCATATAGTATTATGTATGCATATTGTATATGCATACAAATGCATCATGTTTCGGTGCTTTAATTTTAACCATCTTGACAGAGAAACAGATCTGATCAAGTTCATCAAATACATTTTAATTAATAATTTAGTTAATAGCTTTGTACGAGTTAATTTTAGAAAAATCCAAATTTATTCAATTTTTAGCATTTTGTAAATTTATATATGATTTGTTTTTAGTGAACTGTCCCCTTTACTTGAATACAAGCTTGTTTTAAATCCTTGAGCATGATACTGTAAACTAGCCAATATGGTTGAGTATTGTATGTACTGCTCTGTCATAGAGTCAACATTTAAACTTTTAGTTGTTTAAGGTTTTATCTGGATTGTGTCCAGAAACCTGAAAACAAGTTAATTTCATGCAATTAGACTAAATTTAGGTCTGTGGACCTGCCTAGAGTATCAACAGAAGGTTATTCATGATGTATCCATTTCATACTATTGTATCTCAGGTTTCTCTTTCTTATCCTTTATGCGTCAGTTCCAATCCTTTATTATCCTTTATACGTCAGTTCCAATCCCTTTCTTATACTTTATGCGTCAATTTTCCTTCTAATCCTTTATGTCTCAATTCTCCTTCTAATCCTTTATGTGTTAATTCCCCTTCTTATCCTTTATGTGCCAATTCTCCTTTAATCTTTTATGCGTCAATTCCCATTCTAATTCTTTGTGCATCAATTCACCTTATAATCCTGTATACGTCAATTCCCCTTCTAATCCTTTATGCATCAGTTCCTCTTCTAATCCTTTATGCGTCGATTCCCCTTTTAATCCTTTATGCGTCATTTTCCTTTATAATCCTTTATGTGTTAATTCCCCTTCTTATCCTTTATGTCTCAATTCTCCTTCTAATCCTTTATGTCTCAATTCTCCTTCTTATCCTTTATGCGTCAATTCTTCTTCTGATCCTTTTTGCTTCAATTCCCCTTCTAATTCTTTATGTCTCAATTCCCCTTCTTATCCTTTATGTGTTCATTCACCTTCTAATCCTTTACGTCTCAATTCTCCTTCTTATTCTTTATGCGTCAATTCCTCTTCCAATCCTTTATGCACCAATTCTCCTTCTAATCCTCAGCGTGTCAATTTCACTTCTAATCCTTTATGCGTCAATTCACCTTCTAATCCTTTATGCGTCAATTCACCTTCTAATCCTTTATGCTTCAATTCTCCTTCTAATCATTTATGCGTCAATTCCCCTTTTAATCCTTTATGCGTCAATTCCCCTTCTAATTCTTTATACATTGATTCTCTTCTAAGCAGGCAGTTCACATTTATGCGTCAATGTTCCTTTTGAACCTTTATTTTCCTTTTAGAGGTTTAAAAGTCGATCCACTTAAAATTTGAGGCAAATCGGTCAATGGGTTTCTGAGTTATGATCGGACAAACAAACAATAAAAAAGGATTACATCTTTTTATATAAATGTATATATTTCTTTCCACAAATTGAATTGCCAAAGCCCCCCTTCTTGAAATATGTTAAGATTCCAGATGATTTATACTTGAAATATTCTTCACGCAACCTCTCCTCCAGGTTGAACTGCATCTGTTAAGCTGCTGCAGAATGTATACTGCAATAGTTCAGATAAAAGAGAGTGGTTCACAGATAATAACTAATTATATAACTATCAGACCTGAAAGTCTAAGAGGGTATTTCGTTATTTTACGACAAAATCTTAATTAAATTTCATTTTTTACAAGATGCACCGATTTAATCTTAAAAGTATTTCTGAATAGTTCCATGTTTTCTTAATTTTACAAAACATTTTTAAAAATCATAATACTCTTCTCCGAAGAACTAACAAGGAAACTTTCTGTGTAGATTTAAGATTTTAAAACTTTGGAATTTTTATGGGGGCAATGTTTAACTTAATATTGATTTTGCCGATAGGTGCTAAATAGACGCCTGTAGGGAAATGTTAGAAACATATTTGTTCAAGCATTTAAAGTGATGTTCACGTTTATAACGTTTAAACTTTAGAAGTTTACGACGCTTTCGGTAGTTGCAAAATTTGTCTCAAGTTACGCATTTTATGATGGTCTCCTTACTGTTTTCTTCTCCACCTGGTATAGACAGACCCTGCTACGCGCGTCACTAACTATGCGTACGCACAGACTAATACAAGCGCGCGCCAAACCACTACTTTAGTCTTTTCGGAGCCATTACACGCACAGCAGCCCTTATCTTGAATTTCTTAAAGTGTTTTCCATAAAAATAAAACAAGAATATTTGTTTGTAGAAGTGACAATGGTATATTTTGTTTAGTCAAGTTGGACTGAATGCCTAAGTATGGTGATAAAGTGAACTAGATTTAAAATGCGTCGAACCTTCAGAGGTTTTGTTTACTTACTCCTTATACACATCTCCGTACAAGAGGAGAATACAGAGTAAGTTTTTATTCGGCTCCGACTGAGCAATTTTGTTTTTGAATTCTCTCCAATGAATGTTTTTATTTTCTATACTAGAAAGAGATGTTTTTCTTGTGTCTATATTTTTTGTCATTATTGGATAATTTTGTCCAAAATACACTATTTTTTAAAATATCAAGTTTTATAACTTTTGAAGTTAAAGTAACTAAGTTTTTGTCACAAACTTAAATGTTCTAATCCTGATGATGTCAACCTTTGATATTTCAATTTTTTATTGTTCTTTCTAACAGAATATATAGTTTGAAACAACGAATGCAAAGATATCTTAGTAAATCAGAGTTTGTGGCAAAATATTATTGTTTAAATGCCACAAGAAATTTATTTTTTTTGTTCTTAGTTTAATCTTAAATTAGTTAACAGACCTCTTAAAATTTGTTACCAACTGAAGTTGTCTTCTTTTTTTGTTTTCTCGTGATTAATCATTTTTGTTTTGTTTTAGATTCTTTTAATTCTTCTTGTTTATCTGTTTAAATGGTATTATCTATCTCAGTAGGATTAAATTCTTTTAATTCTCATAGTTTATCTGTTTAAATGGTATTATCTGTCTCAGTAGGATTAAATTCTTTTAATTCTTCTAGTTTATCTGTTTACGTAGTATTATGTCTCAGTAGGATTAAATTCTTTTAATTCTAATAGTTTATCTGTTTAAATGGTATTATCTGTCTTAGTAGGATTAAATTCTTTTAATTCTTCTAGTTTATCTGTTTAAATGGTATTATCTGTCTCAGTAGGTTTTAATTTTTTTAATTATTCTAGTTTATCTGTTTAAATGGTATTATCTGTCTCAGTAGGATTAAATTCTTTTAATTCTTCTAGTTTATCTGTTTAAATGGTATTATCTGTCTCAGTAGGATTGAATTCTTGGCTATTTCTTAAAAATGCAGTTTCTCTAGATTTTGCTCTCAGTCTACTTCATGGTCTTTCTTCATCGTTTGTTCTCCAAACAATTCTTTAAAAATTCTACAGAACTTTATTCTTGAACTTCAGTCGCTTGATTTTTCATCCTTGGAGGACTTTTAGTTTGGTACATTGAACTTGTTTTTCACCATTCCTAAACTCTAGTATCCTGATCATTGTTCATTCCTAGATTCTAGTATCCTAATCATTTTTCATTTCTAAATTCTAGTATCCTAGTACTTTTTCCATTTCTAAATTCTAGTATCCTAATCCTTTTCCATTCCTAAATTCTAGTATCCTAATCATTTTCCATTCCTAAACTCTAGTATCCTAATACTTTTCCATTTATAAATTCTAGTATCCTAATCATTTTCCATTCCTAAATTCTAGTATCCTAATCATTTTTCACTTCTAAATTCTAGTATCCTAATTATTTTCCATTCCCAAATTCTAGTATCCTCGTCTTTTTCCATTTCTAAATTCTAGTATCCTAATCATTTTTTATTTCTAAATTCTAGTATCCTAATACTTTTTTATTTCTAAATTCTAGTATCCTAATCATTTTTTATTTCTAAATTCTAGTATCCTAATCATTTTTCAACTCTAAATTCTAGTATCCTCATAATTTTCCATTTATAAATTCTAGTTGGCTAAATAACTTTCTAATCAATCTTGGTAATCTCTTTACTGGTAAGTTATAAAGCATTCTGGAATTCTTATCACTGGTTAGATATAAAATATACTGATAGATTCTTATCACTGGTTAGATATAGAATATACTGATAGATTCTTATCACTGGTTAGATATAGAATATACTGATAGATTCTTATCACTGGTTAGATATAGAATATACTGATAGATTCTGAATATCTCTGAACATTCTGATAGATTTAAAAGTTTATTGTATCCTGTTCAAGAGTTCAAACTAAATTCTGTTTAACAAGATTATAATGCTTCAATTAATTGATGGTTTCCATGTTTATGATGAAAACTAACAGAATTTATATTTTTGGTTAATTAGTGCTAATCTCTAATCCTAGTTAATTGTGTCGTTAAAAGAAACCGTAGACATTAGTTCAAGTTAGCATCTATTTAGAGAGTACAGTATACGATTCACAACGTTAAACATATTATCGTTCTTCTATCTAAAAAAGTGTTGAATTATCACAATTTCTTTAATTGTTTCTGTAGCCTAAATCTGCAATTGAAAATAATCACTTTTCACCCAGAATAACATGGATATTTCATAAATCTTTGAAAGATACTGTTGTGAATCAGACATGTAATTCTACAAATAGATGGTCACTTGAAATATCTCCAACAGTCCCTTTAATTCAGTGTAAATGTGTTTTGTCGACTCGTATATCGGATTAGAATTTGTTTTCGTGTGAGTACTGTATTGTATAGTTGGTACAGAGTACTGTATTGTATAGTTGGTACAGAGTACTGAATTGTATAGTTGGTATAGAGTCCTGTATTGTATAGTTGGTACAGAGTACTGTATTGTATAGTTGGTACAGAGTACTGTATTGTATAGTTGGTACAGAGTACTGTATTGTATAGTTGGTACAGAGTACTGTATTGTATAGTTGGTACAGAGTACTGCAAACACTGGTTTCTTTATCGGAGAACTTGATCACCTCTTTTTGTCTTGATACATGTGTTTGTGTGCGTGAGGGATTGTGTGTTTGTTTTGTGCTGGTTAAAACAGAGATTAGACATGAACTATATTCCCTCTATTCTTTCCTTCCTTCTTTTCGGCTACCCCTTCTTTACCTCCAGTCTTTCCTCCATTTCCTTATACCCCTTCTTTCCCTCAATTTTACCTCCATTTTTTGCATCCTTTTTTTCCCTCGATTCTTTCCTACCTATCCTTTCTCCCTTTCTTTTCTTCCATTTTTCAGTCTCTTATATCTTTATCTTCATTTCTTTCCATCCTTTCCTTTCTTTCTTTCTTTCCTTCCCCTTTTTCTATCTCCTTCCTCCTCTTAGCATCAACCTCTCCTGTATTTACCAATCCATTACTGTTAGCTATCATCATTTCATTCCAACACACTGGTCTAATGAATATTCAACCACTGATCATCATCTCTCTAGAAACCTCTATTCTTCAAGAATAGACGAATCCTTGAAAACCTTTTTAAATTTGACCATTAGAACTCAATGGTTGTATTTCACATTTCTACTGGGTGGATAAAATGTTCAAGTTACTACAAAGGATAAATAAAAATCTCATTTTCTTTTTACCAGATCATTATAAAGTTCGTCTATATTCAACCTGCAGAGCTGGAAGAAAGTACAAATGAACAAGATCGTTTTGGTGAACTGATTCGACTTTATTTAATCCAGGTTGAAAACTATAAATTCAGACCACATCGCGCCACTGATGTTGTGCCATCTCTAGGAGAGCGCTAACGTATTACTAACGTAATAAATATGTTCGCATAACAATTTATCAATTTTAGACGAGGCAAATTATTATTTTTAATTGATTGATCGATTTGAAATTCCTGAAGAGTTGTTTGATTAAAGTGAAATTATTTTTCATAAATGACATAAGCTATGCAGGCGATGCAATATTAATGCAGGCAAACCTCACTTATTGAATTCCTCCAGGTTTCATTTTAATTGCGGTTTTGCAGATATAGCAGTGATACCAAGAAGAAACATTTCTTAAAGGAAAAGTTGGCGAATTCAAAGCCCAGCTCTACTCCCCTTTGTAAGATTTGCTCTCTTTTAAAATTCTTGAATCCTTCCTTTAAATATTTTTTTCTCTAACTTGCGTGAATCGGCTTCCTGGTATTACACTAGTCCCACCATGTGTTCCACGCTAAATATATCATTTACAGATATATAATTATAATTTAAACCTAATGGCTACATTTATATCAGATTTATAGGTTTCACGGTAGACATGAAACCAATTCAAATGTGAGTAGGTTCAGAACCTCTGGCTGGTTTCGGTGCAATACCATACTAGATCCTTTCTGTACCGGAGTAATCCTTCTCCTAGTTCCTTCTTTTACTAGAGAAATCCTTCTCCTAGTTCCTTGTTGTACCGGAGTAATCCTTCTCCTAGTTCAGTCTTGTACTAGAGTAATTCTTCTCCTAGTTCCTTCTTATTCTAGATTAATCCTTTTCCAGGTTCCTTCTTGTACTAGAGTAATTATTCTCCTAGTTCCTTCTTATTCTAGATTAATCTTTTTCCAGGTTCCTTCTTGTACTAGAGCAATACCTCTCCTTGTTTCTTCTTGAACTAGAGCAATACTTCCCCTAGTTTCTTCTTGTACTAGAGCAATACCTCTCCTAGTTTCTTCTTGAACTAGAGCAATACTTCCCCTAGTTTCTTCTTGTACTAGAGCAATACATCTCCTAGTTTCTTCTTGAACTAGAGCAATACTTCCCCTAGTTTCTTCTTGTATTAGAGCAATACTTCCCCTAGCTTCTTCTTGAACTAGAGCAATACTTCCCCTAGTTCCTAGTTCCTTCTTGTACTAGAGCTATGTTTCTCCTAGTTCCTTCTTGTACTAGAGCAATACCTCTCCTAGTTTCTTCTTGAACTAGAGCAATACTTCTCCTAGTTCCTTCTTGTAGTAGAGAAATCCTTCTCCTAGTTCCTTCTTATTCTAGATTAATCCTTTTTCATGTTCCTTCTTGTACTAGAGCAATACCTCTCCTAGTTTCTTCTTGAACTAGAGCAATACTTCTCCTAGTTCCTTCTTGTACTAGAGAAATCCTTCTCCTAGTTCCTTCTTATTCTAGATTAATCCTTTTCCAGGTTCCTTCTTGTACTATAGTAATTATTCTCCTAGTTCCTTCTTGTTCTAGATTAATCCTTTTCCAGGTTCCTTCTTGTACTAGAGTAATTATTCTTCTAGTTTCTTCTTGTTCTAGATTAATCCTTTTCCAGGTTCCTTCTTGTACTAGAGAAATCCTTCTCCTAGTTCCTTCTTGTACTAGAGCTATGCTTCTCCTAGTTCCTTCTTGTACTAGGGCAATACTTCCCCTAGTTTCTTCTTGAACTAGAGCAATACTTCCCCTAGTTTCTTCTTGAATAGAG